CCAAAAAAAATCCGCGAACCTTTTTTTCTTTCAAAATCAAAAGTTCAGAAAAACAAAAATGTGTAAATAAATTGTTTCTATCGAAATCTAAAATTTTATAAAGATTGAATCACAGAATCTCAGAAAATTTGCAAAATTGTAATTAGAAAATTCGAAATTTTCAGTTCTGGTATAATTTTTACGGAAAAAAAGTTTTTCAATGGTTCTTAAGGTTTCAACTGAACAGCGTATATTTAATAATTTAGAATATACTAAGAAGAAAGGAACTAGAGAATTTAAATAACTTTTCCTTAAAAATTAGCCCAGAACTGAAAATTGCGAATTTTATTATTACAATTTTGCCAATTTTGAGAGAAAAAAAAGATTCGCGGATTTTCTTTTGGGCAATTGAAGTAGCAAAAAAAATACAAATTTTTTAAAAATATTGAAAAAACATCATACAGGAGAGTTGCACAAAAAAGGTACAATTTTGCACCAGGCGCCGCAAATCACACTTTTTTTTGACTCACTATATAGCTGAAATGTATATGCATGTACGTGTGTCGTAGGAGGTTTAAGGGGTTGTGGGAGGCCGGGGGCAAAATCAGGGGGTTTCCCCCCCCCCCCCGATTTATTTCATTTTTGTTACTACTCTTTAGTCTCATCAATTGCATGTAAAATGTTAATGTTATCTTTTTCATCATAAACCGTTTTATTGAAGAGTTATTGAGAAGAACAAAAATAAATTGAATTTCTGATACAGGGTGTCCCACGAAACATGACAGTTGGTGAATAGTTTTGAATGTCTTCTTCCATGATACTGTATATTAGTTATTTAAGACTTTTTGCATTATTTCGTTAAACTATATCTTTATTTGAAATCAATTTTACTAAAATATTACTGCCATTTAGTATTTCTTATCATCATCTTTGGTATCAAACAACTTAACAAATTGTGGAAGAAGACGTTTTCTATTCACCAACTGTCATGTTTCGTGGGACACACTGTAAACAGATGAATTTGCTTTTTTCATACAGTCATATAATTAGAAAGAACCGGAATCAATTTATTTGTTTGTGGGTCCAGTGCTCAAGGGAGCGCTGGACAGTTTGCACAGTAACAAAAAAACTGCGCAAACAGTAATTGTGGAGCCAGCGCTCCCTTTTTTATTTGAGGAACCTTGTAATTTACTAATGAACCCCAATGTGTAGGTGCACTGCTCTGACTGGCAATCCTTCAGGCTGCAAACAAATTTTTTTTAAAATTTTCTTAAAGGTTTTTTATAAATTACTAATAAAATTTATCGATTCCTATAGCCGGTTAAAATAATTCATTTAATCCTATTTCTTCTGTGTCATCATCAAACCTAGGATGATCATTTTAGGTAACTTTAATTGACAAGTCCTTTAGTGAGTTTTTTTGGTTTTTCTTGCCTGGTTTATTAGATCCATAACCTACCAGATTCTTAATTCAATATAGAACTGGGATGCATATGTATTGCAGTAACCCGTCCATAGGCTGATGATGAAGAAGTCTTCTAAGGCCAACTACGAAAATAGAACCTAACAATTTCAAATTTATAATTAATCAGACGAATGTACAGTATAATTTTACAAATACGATGAATGAAACTATAATAACAAAATAGCCCTGGTCCTGCCAATTCAAAAATGTGGTCTGCCTTTATTGTGAGTTTAACTGACCTCCGGATCCACCTAATTTGCAGAATGGTTTCCAAGCCAACTCCTAGCCAATCAAAATCGTCTCCGAGCCTCATGCTATGTCTGCCAGGCTCCCCAACTCTTTCTCACGTCCAGCAATTCGATTTCCAAAAACAAATATTTAGCTTTCGCATCCACCAAAAGCCTTTTTTTCGAAAAACCTTAACATGATAATAAAGTTTTAATGGTACATAAACTTTGTATAATAAAGTTTACTTTTATTGAGATTTAGGTTTCTTATTTTGTTTTTCTAAATTTCACAAATTTCTAAACTTGTGCAGAATTATTAAAGCTTTATATATATAAAGACAAATGTTATATCATTTCACAGGTGTATCATATACAAATCTAATTAGACTACCGCCAATTCACAAACCATAATAGTTTTTGTGATATACTTGAAAAATGAAATACAATAAAAGCACAAATTTAAGTATTTCAGTTACACTTGAACCAGAAACGTTCAGTCTAAACAGGGGCGGATACAGGATTTAAGTGAGGGGGGGCCAGATGTTTTAGGAAATTCATAATTAGGAACAAAAAATCGAGCCGCAGGAGAAATTTTTTTTGACTTAAAAGACTCTAAAAAGAGTCAAAATGACTAAAGACTAAAAAACTAGATTTTTAACTTTTCACATATTATAGTTTATTAAGACAGATATTTTTCCTGTTTTGCACTAGGGTTTCTTTCCTGAAAATAGGAACAAAAAATTCCAAATTCAGGGGGTTAAAAAAAGGTATCAATATTTTTTCAAAAAAGGGGTTTTTAAGGGGGGGGGCATACTGTTGCAAAGGGGGGGACCCCAAAATGGGGGTGCAGATTCTGCACCCCCATAATTAAAAGCCCTCGTACGCTCCTGTTTATAAAATTAACTCTAGCAGACATAATAATATTATGGCTTTTGAAATTAGGTATTACTATGCTAGTTCATAACAAAGACGATATCGAATTCGTCACTGAATTCCCATAATTTTTGGGACACCCTGTACAATGAGAATTCCAGAAAACTCTAGAATAGGGAAAGTCGAGTTATAACTTTAAAAAGTCCAATAAGCATGAGACACGGCAATTGTGCAGTGTATACAGACCGATTTCACTAAATAAGTGATTTAATAAGTGTTATAGTAAAACTATTTGCTTTGTAACAACATCAAATACACTTAATTATTGATATAATGTCCTCTTTCTATTCCATTTTCTTTCTGGTTATTACTGTATTAATTTAAATATTCTTTGCAAGGGTGTGGGGCAGAGTATATTGCATGATTCTGCACTATGTTTTGCAAATATCCAGTAGTTTACGAGTATGTTATAGTTTACTTGTTTTTTGTTTACTATAGTATCTATCTCTGCATGATATTCATCTACTGATTGCTACACTTGAGTGCCTGTTTTCACTGTCCTCTCTTGGGGAACAGCCTTGTAATTCTATTGTGAAGACTCACAGTGCTATTGAGCTGCTGGTCAGTCCCTTAAATCATTAAAATTACTTAAACAGTCCCTTTAATCATTGAAATTACGTAAACAGTCCCTTTAATTCTTTTATTGAATTTCGACATCTATAATTCAAGGGCATGCACTCTATTCTATTATATTCTGTTCGGTTCTATTATATTCTATACTCTTCTTTATAATTCAGGAGTTATGACTGTTAATACTGAGAGTGGATTTTAACATCTTTTATCTTTGAAATTATTTGCGGCAATTATTCGCCAACATAGTTGGAGGTGGCCAACGTTCCAATTAAAAACAGAAGTGTTTGAAAATGAACAGAAAATTCCATTAACGAACAGTCAAAGCGATCTTAAAACTTGGACGAATGATCTTTTAAAAAAACGCAAATAAACACATTTCAATATCTTTATTGTTTTTTTTTTTCATGGCTAGATTTGGTTATCGGGAGTAAATCGTTAGGAAAGTTAAAGCTATACTCGATAATAAGTTCAGATAGCCTTTAGGTTAGTAAGTTTCCATGAAATGACTTAAGTCAATCGTCTTAATCTTGTATTTAAAAGGTCACACACAGGGAGTATGGAATAGAAGGGAGATACAAGTGACGCGGCCCGCCCTACCATATGATTATACATGCTTTGCAAACGGCATGTCATTTTAATAAGAAATATTTGTCTGATGTACAATTACCATGTATACAATAACCTATTCTGAATATTTCTTATAGAAATTGAGTACCCGTATGTAATGCATGCATAATCATATGGTAGGGCGGTCCGCGTCAGTTGCATCTCCTTTCTATTTCATTCATTCCATTGGTCACACAGCATACTCTTTGCGTCATTTTTTGATAGCATGGTAAGCGATTAAACTGAGTACAAGAAATTTTTTAAAATTGAGTTTATATAATTGCATACTCTATAGCAACCTCACACAAACAAAATCAATCTAGTAAGCAGTTTACCTAATGATATTTTTTTGCAACTACTCACTATTGTTTTCCAACAAAAAAAACTAAGAATTTGGCACAGAAATATTTTATTATAACAGATTACATTAACACAATTTTTTTTATTTTTTCAACATCGAACAGCTGTTTTTTCCTCATTTCTATATTTATATTTTTTTCAAATATACTTCTATATTCTAAATATATTCTTTACTGATTTATTCTAGAAATAAGTGAATTTTTTTTTAAATTGTATGATTTTTATTTATTTTATCTTTTCATACCTTTCCCGCTGCTCTTCCCAGTCGGACAATCCCTAATTTTAACCCATCCTTCTTTTCCTCTTCCTCTCTTCTTAACTTCATTTTTTTAATGATACTTTTACAAATCTACGAAACTGTGTAGCAATGTATAATCCACGAACTTCTAGTGTCCGTGAATTATAACAGTTGATCACTAACTAACTCTCTCTCTATCGCAGGAAAATAGAGGAATTAGCGGAAACCGGCAACTCGGGTCTCTCTGCAAAGCAACACATTTTTTTGTAACATTTTTATTTTTGTCATATTTTGTGTGTCGTTATATATGAATTTAATATGTGAATTTCAAAATATCTAAATTGACAAAAACCTTTTTTATTTTGTTTTTTGGGTGGTGTTGCAGTGGGACCCGGGACCAGCTGCTTGTTGGTCTATATCGTATAATGACCCGGCCGACCAAAGGCGCAAAGGTTTCAGGGGGGGAGGTGATTTTTCCATGACTTGATTTTAACATTTTTGTCTTTTTTTACTTTCGCAATAATATAATGGTCGCGTGATGTTGGATATAAATCATACTAGCTTGGGAACCCAGCGTTGCCCATGGGATATTCATTTTTACTCTCCCCGTTCACCCGCATTTGGTCGATTTTTACTGGCCAAGACTAAATATTCGCTATTTATAAGTTGACCCACTCAACTTAGAATCTCAAACTCAAGCTAAGAACATTCCCGTACCTCTCCTGAGTGCCCCAATCGGTCCAGGGGTTTCTTAGTTGATCGGACAAACAGAGATTACAACGTTATATATATATATATATATATGTCTGATATACACAGATTATCCAATGTGCATGCTCTCACGTACACTAAAAATCTAACAGTCTTATGTTGTATGTTGTAGAAGTTCGTGTTGAGTGTATACACTAGTGTACACTGAACATGTATAGGGCTACACAAAGTTATAGAAAGAAAAAAACCTCAAGGCCAAGGAGTTGCGACACTTCAAAGTCTACCCAATCTTTAAAATGGTTGCAATGTTTTATCTTAACAACTCTTTGGATCTCAGTGTATCAGAAAGTTCAAATTATGACAAGAAAATATCTCCAAACTTGGAGAGTTTCGTTTTGAATCGATCTAGTTTATATAAAAAATATATACTAACGTTTGTATAATAACAAAAACAATAATAATGATAATAATATATAAGGTTAATCATATTAATTTATCAAATTCTATCATTTAAAGTCTGTGTTCCTTTATTGTTTTAGACAGCCTCGAAGAACATGGGTTGGAATATTTGTATTCAAACACAAAATAAAAGCTCCTCTTGATCACGTTTTTTTCTTTCCCTATTCAAATCCCATCCCTAACAGAAACCATTATGTTCCGCCCGTGCACACGGTGATCTAAAGGTTGCAAGGTCTTCGGCAAAAGTCGATGACTTTTTTGCCAATAGTTCTAAAAACTGAAGCTAAAAACAATTGCTTTCAAGTTTTTAAATGTAAAAGTCTAGGAATACAAAAAGGATAAGTGAGTTGATAAGTTAAAATCATGCGGCTACAAGGCGATGCGACACTTTAAAGTCGACAAAAGGAGGACACTTTTAATAGCAGTCTGGACCTATATGTGGCGAATTTACCCATTCGTAAGAATATACTAGCAATGTGCTTACAGGGCACTTTGCGTCTCTTTTCTTGAAACAATTTTAGCTGTTTATTGTTGCTCTTGCATTTTTCTCTGTAAATCGTTTTTGCGGATTTTCTAAAATGATTAATGTTGCGAATTGTGATTTTTTTCCGGGTAACATCCATAAACCTTCCCCTGGGGTCATGTAAGTTGCCTCAAAAAAATTGGTCCCGATCGCTCCAGCCGTTTTGACGTTTATAGGGGAATATAAACATAAATTTGTCCAAGAGGGGGAAGGGGGCTCAGACTTGAAAGGCCCCACAGGGCTTCCTAACCATCGTAGTGGGTAGGTACTAGGTTGGTAGATAAAATAATATAGATGATAATAATAATAATATATATAGCTGAAATGTATATGCATGTACGTGTGTCGTAGGAGGTTTAAGGGAGTGGGGGGAGGTCAGGGGCTAAATCATGGGGGGATTACTCCTCACCCTGATTTATTTCATTTCTTTACACTCCTTAGTCTCATCAATTGCATGTAAAATGTTAATGTTATGTTTTTTATCAAAAATCGTTTGATTGATTAGTTATTGAAAAGAACAAAAATAAATTGAATTTCTGATACAGGGTATCCCACGAAACATGACAGTTGGTGAATAGCTTTTAATGTCTTCTTCCATTATACTGTAAATAGTTATTTAAGACTCTTTGCATTGTTCCGTTAAACTATATCTTTGTTTTAAATCAATTTTACTACAATATTACTGCCATTTAGTATTTCTTATCATCATCTTTAGTATCAAACAACTTAACAAATTGTGGAAGAACGTTCAGTTACACTTGAACCAGAAACGTTCAGTTACACTTGAACCAGAAACGTTCAGTTACACTTGAACCAGAAACGTTCAGTTACACTTGAACCAGAAACGTTCAGTTACACTTGATCCAGAAACGTGAGTCTAAATGATAATAATGCATGTGCTTCAGGACTCTTGTGGCCTTTTATTTTTCGTTATGAATGTTTAAATTTATATTTCTTGTGGTTTGGATTTATTACTGATATAATTCTCTTTATAGAACAATGAGAATTCCAGAAAACTCTGAAGTAGGAAATATGCAGTAGTGTCCGAGTATATTATAGTTTGCTAGTTTTCTTGTTTACTATAGTCAAATCTATAGTTTAAGGGCACATTAAAGCAGTATTTAAATCTGCAAGGGTAAAGAGCATTATTCTATACTATTCTATTCTATTCTATTCTATTCTATTCTATTCTATTTCTTTTTAATTCAGGAGTTATGACTGTTAATACTGGGAGTGGATTTTACCATCTTTTATTTTTGAAATAATTTGCGGCAATATAATGCGCCAACATAGTTAGAGGCATGGGCAACGTTCCAATAACAAACGGAAGTCTTTGAAAATGAACAGAAAATTCCATTAACGAACAGATTAAGCGATCTTAAAACTCGGATGAATGATTTAAAAAACACGCAAATAACAAATTTTATCATCTTTTTCAGATAGCCTTTAGGTTAGTTAGTTTCCATGAAATGACTTAGGTCAATCGTCATAATCTTATATTTATAAGGTCACACACAAGGAGTATGGAATAGAAGGGAGATACAAGGGACGCGGCCCGCCCTACCATATGATTATACATGCTTTGCAGACGGCACGTCATTTGAATAAGAAATATTTGTCTGATGTACAATTACTGCGTATACAATAACCTATTCTGAATATTTCTTATACAAATGGAGTACCCGTATGTAATGCATGTATAATCATATGATAGGGCGGTCCGCGTCAGTTTCATCTCCCTTCTATTCCTTACTTCCTGGTCACACAGCACACTCTTTGCGTCATTACTTGATAGCATGGTAAACGATTAGACTGAGTGTACAAGAAATTTTCTTAAATTGTGTTTATATATTTGCATACTCTACAGCAACCTCACACAATCACCTCATCGCTGATTTTTTTTGCAACTACTCACTATTGTTTTACAACAAAAAACTAAGAATTTGGCACAGAAATATTTTATTATAACAGATTACATTAACACAATTTATGTACAAGTACAAAGTATCTTTTCTTACATTTGTAAAAAAATTGAAATAGGCCCAAAAGATTAATATGTAAATATTAATAATAAAAAACTTCTCTAAATACCCCATCACCGTTAGTTGACTAAATATCATTTTTTAAATAATAAATACAAAAAAAATTTAAATGCCTTGGTCGAATAGTTAAAAATAAATCAAACATCTGTACATAACAGGTTTCAAGGAATAAATGCATTGATCGAAAATCGAAAATGGTAGAAAATGCGATGAAAAATCGTGACTGATATTTTAAACAAATTACTACATACATTTTTAACTGATTGCGTACTAAATCAATCTAAGTAATTTTCTTATCCAATGGTAAGTATGCAGTAAAATTGAGGATTTATATTGAAAAAATATAGAAAATGGAGATTTTCTTAGATTTACGGTGTTAATCCCTTTCAAGCTGGAATACATATGATATCTGGGCATTGTTGTATTTATTTCTTGGTAGCATCATACCAGCCAACAGGAACCTTGTGTTTGGTTTTATCAACATCGTACCAACCTAAAAAAGGTCATGGTTTCAAAAAAAATTATATTTGGTGCGATTTACGAACATAATTGATAACCATTCTGTTAGGGATATCTATCATACAGGGTTACCCACAAAGGATGAGACTTCAGAGACGATTGTACAGAATTAATACTGTCTGTTTCCTTTTAGTCATGATTCCCTGCAACTGTAAACTTCTTTCTTTCTTTGTCAAATCATTGAATAGCTCATTTAAAGACTACTTACAAATCCGAAGGCTTAAAATTGTAAAGAAGACATGAAAGGGGGTATAGGATGAAACCAGAGAATCTCAGGCGTTGAACGATACATATAAGACATTTATCTGATGTTCCTGTCTCGAGAAATTGATATAAACTATGTCAAAATTATTCGAAAATTCATATATATAAAATTAGTAGGTTTAAACAGATCATATTCAGCAAATATGCAACCAATCTAAAAACGAATATATCCCACAGGAGCCTGAGAATCTCAGGTTTGCTCCTATTTTAGTTTTTTAATTTTTATTTTGCATTTTTAATAGATATAATTGATAATATTATTACATATAGTCCGTATGACGTCACCAGAACTGATCAGCCAATGGCAGTGCAGTATCGTTGTCACGTGATACAGACAAAAATCATGTGACCAGTATACTACACTGACATTGGCTGAATTTCAGGTGACGAACTATACGGACAATATGAAATAATATTATCAATTATATCTAGTATTAATTTCTAAAAATATTTCTCAAAAGTAATTAAATTATCACAAAATTTTCTTTAAACATTTCTCAAAATATGTTTCAAAATTTGTCTCAATATATTTCACAAAATTGAATACCTGGAGGCACAGGGCGCATATCTGCAGACACATAATTAAATTTCCCATTTTCATCTATTGTCGTCTTCATCTTGTTACCCAAAGTAGCTTTCAGAACCTTAATCAAAAGCTTGATTCACAACGGTACCCTTGAATCCTTTAATAAATCAATTATGTGGAAGATATTTTCGCTTTTTCCATATTTAAAACGTAAAAGTATTTATTTTTATAGATTTATTTCGTACACAAAGGTAAAATGGTACAATATGATAAGAAAAAAACAAGAATAAAGTATAATATATAAATATAGTTTCTAGTCGGAACATAAACTTCATGAAGAATGGGTAATTTTCATTCTTAGTCTAAAGGAATATGATTGTATATCATATTTTGTTTCACGCAAAATTTGTTTATATTTCTAGATTGTGCATTGCAATATTGTGCAATAGATTCAAGATTTTTACATAACACAGTTCTTAAATCCTGTTTACTTAGATCTACTAACAGTCGAATACATATCTTATGACAATTTTATAAACTGGTCACATAGTGTACAAAACGAGTGCATAAAACTGTTTTAATATGAGGAACATTAGAAATTTAATTTAATTCTGACATTTTCCATAGAGATTCCCTGCAATTGAAATGCGCAAGTAGTTGTAGAAGAAAAATCACAATGAAAAATCAGTTTTCCCAATTATAAGCATGGATTTTTAATTCATGCTTGAACAGACAATGGAGAATGGAGTTGAGGATTAGATTATATTATAATTTGTGATCTAGCTAGAACTGGTTTAACTTTGTTTAGTTTTTGTTTTGTTCTTGAGCTGTCAAAATAATGTGAATTGTAAATAAACCTATTCTACTCTGCCCTGCATGCAAAATATATGTTCTGCATTAAACAGCAAAATAGCCATTGAAATAATAGTTTGACAGAATGCCTTTTGGAAAATTTTTAATTAGCAAAATGGGTTTTTGGGGAAAAAGATTGATTCAGAACCTATGATCAAATGAGAAAATGTCATTTGGGAAATAGTTCAATAAGAAGCTTCCAAAAAATGATCAATTGAAAAATTTCATATTGAAGTTTTCTTTTTTGTGGAAAAAAACCATTCGGGAACTGAACAACAGGAAAAACACACTTTTGTTCTTTGGTAATGATAATTTGAGAAATGACCTTAGGAATTGATTATACTGTTTAACTCAGTACTTTGGAGAAATCAAAAGAATTTTTAAAATGTCGTCTTTCCAATTTGTCGACTTATAAACCTAAATCTTAGCAATTGTAAAAATTAATAAAAAAAACATGAAATATGCAGGAGTAGTTTTAAAGAGCTAAATATAATTATTCAACTCAAAAACTAAATATCTACAGCATTCAATTATCAGTAGGTCTAGAAAACGACATTTTATGAATACTTTCAGTGTTTCAGAAGTTCTAGGTTAGATTGTATAAGACAATTTCCTTTATGATCCTGCATTCTAAAACTATCTTTACAAATGGCTTTGATTAAAATGATCCATTTTGGGAAGTTCTTGTGGGGGGAATGTTTTTAAACATACCTTGCTGTATGAGAACTTTCCGTCTATGTCGTATGCTACTAGATTACCAGCTCCAGCTCCTCCTACCCCACCTGGACCACCAGGAGATCCAACAACTGGAGAACCAGGTCGTCCTGAGATAGATGTTTGTTAGAAAGATTAACTACCGTGGCCGGCGTTTATATCACCATAATGAAGACGACATTTCTATTTAAGTTTTCTCAAATCACAGTTTACAAGTTTAAAACTAAAGAAAATCTGTTAAATAGCTGTTTCTCTTTGTTTCCATGTTAACACGTATCCATGCTGTTTAAAAGTTTGGTAGAAAAATTGAAATCAAAGTCGTCTTCATCCTTTTGATATATACAACGACGACTGTATTAATAAAAATTCGAAATAATATTTAATATTTAATATATCTAATCCGAATCTGCAACATTTGGTTTCCTGGATCCGGATCCAGATCCGCAAATAAAATGCGGATTTAAGGATCCTGATCCAATGGGAAAAATATTAACCAAAAACTGCAAACAAAAATCTTTTTGTGCAAAAACTTTTATTCTTACAGAAACTAAAGGATTTAAACTTTCAAAAAAGTGCTAAATGTATTTTTTACTTGCATTTTATTAAAGTTGCTTTTATTGACATAAGATATCAAAAAGATTTAATTATCTCATGAGAGCGATTTTTTTGAGCTTTCACTTTAGTTCGTTTGCTAATTAAAAATTTTGAGGATTAAATAAAAAATTTCATTTTCTTTTATAATACAAAATAAAACGATATAAGATAAGATTATAATGTATGCCAGAATACTTTAATATAATTAACTGATGAAGAAATAAATTTTTTCTTTAAACACTTTCTTTACCTTCTCCTCCTTCGCTACTTTCACTGCAAGTTCTGCTCCTACTGAACATATCTAGAATATGGATAAACTGAACATATCTAGAATATGGATTGACTGAACATATCTAGAATATGGATAAACTGAACATATCTAGAGTATGGATTGACTGAACATATCTAGAATATGGATAAACTGAACATATCTAGAATATGGATAAACTGAACATATCTAGAATAAGATAAACTGAACATATCTAGAATATGGATAAACTGAACATATCTAGAATATGGATAAATTGAACCAATCTAGAATATTAATAAACTGAACATATCTAGAACATGAATAAACTGAACATATCTAGAATATGGATAAACTTAACATATCTAGAATATGGATAAACTGAACATGTTTAGAATATGGATAAACGGAACATATCTAGAATATGAATAAATTAAACCTATCTAGAATATTAAAAAACTGAACATATCTAGAACATGATTAAGCTGAACATTTCTGGAATATGAATAAACTGAACATATCTAGAATATGAATAAACTGAACATATCTAGAATATGAATAAAACTGAACATATCTAGAATATGAATAAACTGAATATATCTAGAATATGAATAAAACTGAACATATCTATAATATGGATAAACTGAATATATCTAGATAATGTCACGCCTTTAGAAAAATTTAACTGAACATATTTTTAATATTTTTAACAGCACAATCTGCACAATCTGCACAATCTGCACAAACAAAAATCAGAATATAATTTAATGAATTGACATAATGAAAACAAATTATAAGAAAATGAAGAAAATAGTTAACTAAAACCAAAAACTTGTAAGAAAAAGCTTTTCTATTTATAAATTTTTGTGGTTTTCCATTTTTGTTATACCAAAAACGTGTGATATTTTGTATCATATGGTATATACGAAAATAATTGTATAATAAGATAATTTTGTTTACCTTTGTTTTAAATCAAATACGTCTCCAATTGTTTGTAGGTTCTTTTTCTTTTGTTTCGTATAAAAATAAAAACTAGCTCTGTGTGTTTTAGATAACAAGTTTATATTTCAACTGGCAATATATACTTCGCTCTGTTACTAACCAGTCAGATAGATAGATAGATAGATGGAAAACAGAGGGAGAGGAGCCGTTCAGGAATATGTAACAAGATAACACCAGTTTTGGAGGATTTCCTCTCAAGATATATTGCGTAATATATGGATTCTTTTCTCTGATGCGTAGAAGAAATCCGTAGAGAAATACAGCTGGATAAGGCCTTTATCTAAGAAATTAAAAGAAAGGAATTTAGTTGGCGCACTAAAAGATTATATTCTTAAATAACAATAAACGTCATGTCAATGGTATTTTATGTATTCAGGGTAGCAGATTATTTTGATTCAGCTCATTCTTGTATCTTCCTAATTTTACTTTTCTCCATTCTTTTATCAAAACACCGCAATATTTTGTCCATTATTTATTTATTAAATTTGTTTACTTAGGGAGGTTTACTTATCATTTTTATGAATTTTATTGGCTTTGTCCCCTTTTTGAAAAAATATTGACACGTTTTTTAACTTTGTAAACTATTCGATCCAACACTTCCATATTACAAGCGTTAATAAATTATTCATGTAATTTTCTTAAGTGGACTCATTAAACACTTCCTCTTAATACTGTGGTGTAAGCTTAAATGGATGAAAAATAGAGATGGAAACATTTCTTTAAAAATATCTAGATTTTCATAGAAACGATACAAATGGTAAAATAAATCAATATGATGATAGATAGAATGATAGTTAGATAGATAGATAGTTAGAAAGATAGAAAGATAGATAGCTTGATAGCTTAATAGATAAGGGGGAAAAAATTTGTTTTAGAAAATTGTAAAAAAAGTTGAAATGAAAAAAAAAATTTGTGAATGTTAAAAAAGTGGAAAAAATGAAGAAAAAATTATATTGTGAAAAATATTAAAAAAGGGTTAAAAATAAAAAAAAATTTAGAAAATTTTTAAATATGTAAAAAATGAAGAATTTTTTTTTGTAAAAAGTAAAAAAATGTTTAAAAGTGAAAATAATACCTATTTTAGCCCTAAAATGATAACAGGTCCGATATTGCAGTAGATCGGAAAGTTAGTAGGTCAAAAGTTCAGTTGGGGGATGTTGCGTATAGACGAAGTAACATTACCAAAATCTTTCCCCACCTCGCATACCTGATGTTTGCACTTCAACCCGTGCCCGAATTTATAGATTTATTTTCGAAACTGCAGAGGAGCAATTATTAGAAAGCTTTAAGCATATTGTACACCATGAGCCATTAACAGAGGTCAATTTGGTCTTACTTCATTATTTAATTACGGTTTTTTGTCTGATTACCAATTGAGGTGGTGGAGATTACCAGTTGAGGAGCGCGTATGCCGATATGACTTGGAACTTTAAGGTTCAAGAAATTGTCGCTAGGTGTCTCTAATATTACCTCGTAAATACAATATTTTTCCTTTATTCAACGACTTAAATTAAATCTATTAAAAACCGGTCATATTTTCTGCAAACCAAGTAAACTCTGTTTCTTGAAATACAATTTAAAATAGAATAAGAATTTATAATCGATAAAACATTGAACTAATTTCTTAAATATTACTATTGTTCCTTTCGTCTGCACGACGGAAAATACAACTGTACTAGTACTGGTGAGCTACACAATAGCTCGGACTTTCTGTAAAACTCAGGCTAGCCCGAGTTAATTGATTTAACGATTTAATGTTAAACTGGCGGAACATGTTCAGGTTTTAATATAGTAAAGCAAAAATAACGGCTGTCACCGTATAACGGCAATTTTCATTTCTATCCTGTTGTTAGCTAACCGCCGAAAACAATTTCTAATTTTATTTTTTAAATTTTACAGTTATGACCAGAAAACAATTGAATAGGAAGGAATCAGGCGGGCAACCAGGGGGGGCATGGCCCCCCAAGCCTCATTAAGGGGGGTATCGGAAAGGGGGTTTATCAAGTATTTTTAGATATGTTTACGATAAGTATTGCCACTTATTATGATATTGCTTTAATACTGTAGTACAACTATTAAATTAATCCTACATGTTCACCGTAAATATTGTGTGATGTGTCATATTAAAAAAAAAATATATTTTTCATGTAAAATCATGAATTTTTAATGAGTACAATGTACATATATTTGATTTATGGATGAAAAATGAATTTATGTGATTATGTAAATTGTAAATAATTAATATTGTGATTTATATTAACCAGAATAGATTTCTTTTTTTTATTTCATATCAGATGTGTTGANGGGGGGGGGGGAATTTGAGCTTCAAAGGGTGAAAAATATAGATGGAAACGTTTCTTTAAAAATATCTACATTTTCATAGAAACGATACATATTGTATAATTATAAATAATAATATCAAATATTATTTTAACACTGAAGGTATAGCATTGATTAAAGCTTTTTTAATTAAGGGCAATAGTGAGTTTTTAAAGTATTTTAATATGGGGGGGGGGCCCCTCTCTCGTATGCCCCTGATTCTGAGTCCCCCAATCAAAGTTTGAGGTAAATCGGTCAAACTGTAAAGTATTGTTGGAAAGCTATTTAAATTATTTCAAAGCGACTGTAAGCGTAATTACAAGTGACATGATTCACAAGGGTACCCTTTAAACCTTTTACTAATAAAGGATGTCTGACATATCCTTAATAATTTACTGAAACGGTTTAAATTGATCAATACTTTGTTTTGCAAGCTGTTATATATTCAATAAATATCAATAGAGGCAAAATATAGATATTCACTTTTATTTATTTTTTAAACGCTGAAAACAAACAATTTACTTTTGAATGTTTGAAATCCCTGTTGACATAAGACAGTTAATCTTCTTTCGGGTTACGCAAGTAAATTACCCGTTTTTTTATTTCAGACTGTACACAGCGTACATTCGCCTTTTAGAGGAATTCAATCGGGTTTCGATATGTTTTAACAGAAAGATCTCTATACTCGATGAAAAAACAGGTATCGAAATCCTTATTTGGAATAGACAATTGTTAGCTCTTCGTGTATAATTAATTAAAAGGTCATTCCAGAATTATTCCGCAAAAGTTTGTTTGACCTTTTGTTATGCGTAAATCAGTCCAGACCAAATAGATTATCAAGTACAATAGGTGGCAACAGAAAAATGGTTCAATTATAGACGACGTCACAAGTGTCAAATATAACAAGAAAAACGAAATTTTCTCACATAATTTTTTTTCAAGATTAAAGAAAAAAGTGTAAAAACAGAAAATAAAGAACACATAAAATTCCATTTATTTTACTGTACGATAAGCACGTTATTATAAAACTATTATTAATAATTTTGTCGGAAACAAAAATTGAATTGACATTTGTGGCTTTAGAATACAGGTGTACTGCACGAGTCTACAAATTCTACGTTGCCATCTATTGTACTAGAATCTATTAACAAAGAGAAAAATGTAGAAAGCTTTATTATTCTTCAGTTCTACTATTCATATCCTTGCAGTTTATAAGACTTAAACCTAAATAAAAGATACAGGGTTACCCATACTGATTGAGACTTCAATGACGACCTGAAACCGCTTTAAATTTAACGATCTGAAGATTAATTTGGACTTTAACACTTGTAAAGATTGTATACTTAAAGTAAAATAATCCGCCATGTTCAATTTACAACAATATGAGGGCAATGTCTGATTTACAACGGTACCCTTAAAAGCTTTGCTTGATCAAGTATGAATTAGATATCAATGTTTTTGTTTCTTAAAACTGATTACTTTCATTTGCGGTTTCTCTGCAATTTGTACAGCATGTACAGTGTCCTAGAAAACTGCCAACATTTTTTATTTTGAATATATTTAAAAGTGCATCTCAATACCATACCCTCTTTCGCAATGATAGACGTCAAAAGAGATGCGAGATGATAACCATTAACATGATGCAGATCTTACAGGCTGTTGTTTATAAAATCGGTATCAAAGAGAGAATGCAATTTCAAATACACATCTTACAGACTGTTGTTTATAAAATCGGTATCAAAGAGCGATTGCAATTTCAAATACACATCTTACAGACTGTTGTTTATAAAATCGGTATCAAAGAGAGATTGCAATTTCAAATACACATCTTACAGACTGTTGTTTATAAAATCGGTATCAAAGAGCGATTGCAATTTCAAATACACATCTTACAGGCTGTTGTTTATAAAATCGGTATCAAAGAGCGATTGCAATTTAAAATACACATCTTACAGGCTGTTGTTTATAAAATCGGAATCAAAGAGATTGCAATTTCAAATACACATCTTACATGCTGTTGTTTATAAAATTAGAATCAAAGAGAGATTGCAATTTCAAATACACATCTTACAGGCTGTAGTTTATAAAATCGGTATCAAAGAGCGATTGCAATTTCAAATACACATCTTACAGGCTGTTGTTTATAAAATCGGAATCAAAGAGATTGCAATTTCAAATACACATCTTACATGCTGTTGTTTATAAAATCGGAATCAAAGAGATTGCAATTTCAAATACACATCTTACATGCTGTTGTTTATAAAATCGGAATCATAGAGAGACTGCAATTTCAAATACACATCTTACAGAATGTTGTTTATAAAATCGGAATCATAGAGAGACTGCAATTTCAAATACACATCTTACAGACTGTTGTTTATAAGAGAGACTGCAATTTCAATATACACATTATTACAGGCTGTTGTTTATAAAATCGGTATCAAAGAGATTGCAATTTCAAATACATATCTTACAGACTGTTGTTTATAAAATCGGAATCAAAGAGAGACTGCAATTTCAAATACACATCTTACATGCTCTTGTTTATAAAATCGGAATCAAAGAGAGATTGCAATTTCAAATACACATCTTACAGGCTGTTGTTTATAAAATCGGTATCAAAGAGAGACTGCAATTTCAAATACACATCTTACAGGCTGTTGTTTATGAAATTGGAATCAAAGAGAAACTGCAATTTCAAATACACATCTTACATGCTCTTGTTTATAAAATCGGAATCAAAGAGAGACTGCAATTTCAAATACACATCTTACATGCTCTTGTTAATAAATCGGAATCAAAGAGAGATTGCAATTTCAAATACACATCTTACGTGCTCTTGTTTATAAAATCGGAATCAAAGAGAGATTGCAATTTCAAATACACATCTTACAGGCTGTTGTTTATAAAATCGGAATCAAAGAGAGATTGCAATTTAAAATACACATCTTACAGGCTGTTGTTTATCAAATCGGTATCAAAGAGATTGCAATTTAAAATACACATCTTACATGCTGTTGTTTATAAAATCGGTATCAAAGAGAGATTGCAATTTCAAACAATCTTCCATTACAGAGTGGCATGTCGAATGCACAACCCTAAAAAACTTTGTCTGATCAAGATGAAAGAAGAAGATATTCATTTTTATCTACTTTAGATTATTTTTTTCAATTGTGGTTTCTCTTTAAAAAAATGCAAATTGTGCATGTCTGTTACAGAAATTATGAAAGAAATTGTCGAAGGATTGAACACTTTATGAACCAGAAGACTGACAGTGATAACAAAAAAGCAACTCAATGGGAAGACGACATTATTGCAATACTGAAGTTGTTACATAGCAAATAGTTTACTAGACACTTATAAATACAGTAATTTAGTCTAATTGGTCTGTTCACACTGTACAATTACAATTGTTCATTGGACTTTTCAAAGTTATAACTTGATTCTAAAGGTCGTCTTACTATTCCAGAGTAATTTCTGGCTATCACTGTACATCATTTATTAGATTTCAAGGGTACCGTTGTGAATTCTAAAAATGGATTATAATTAAGGACGGATTTAAGAAGTTCAATTGTTTCAGATTAAAAACTAGAATATAATGGCAGATACTAATCAAGGTAATAATGTAAACTAAGAAGAAAGGAATTGAGTTTTTGCCGCAAACTCAAATTTTATAATCCCTTTATCTTGGCAACCTGATAATGTAAACCTTACATATTTTAAACTTAGAACATTTGATCTAACAGAATTCATATTTTGACATATTGGTTTGCAAAGAAATAGGGATAAGAAAATCAGAGCTTGTGGCAAAAATCAAATTCTTTGACACGAACTTTTAATTTTAAGTTTAATAGATTTATTATCAATTTGAATATTTATTCCATAATAAAAACCTATTTTTTTCTGTATGCAACAATTTTTATTGAATCCCGCTAATTTGAAATTTTATTTAAGTTTGGTGTACATTTTAAAACTAGATTTTTACAAAGAAATGTCATTTATTCTCAGAAAAAAATAAAATAAATGTCATAATTTAATACCTATGGGTTTAAATTTCAATTCTTTCTAATATGTCTTAGAGTAAATGATACATTTGTTAACGATTTAGGTTTTTTTATAATTGTCAAAAAAAATATATTAAACATTCCTTAAATTATTTCTTCGATCTTTATATTTTTTACAACCTTACGTAAAATATGGATCTACGAGATAGAATATAATCATAAGTTTAAAATGTCAAAGGTTTTTTTATCACTCAATTAGTTGCCAAGACAAAGGAATTAATTGTAGTTTAAGGCAATTTATTACTTCTTTTATGAACCCGTAAGATGGTTTTTTCGGAGTCAAACATTATAGCAACAGAACGTATAGAAAATTTAGCGACACGGCATATTTACAGGAGAATATTTTTTACATTTTAGAGAAATTAAACTTTTTTGTAAAACCTCACGGGCAGCCGTATAGCACATTTGAATTTCCGAGCCCGGTCAACCTCAATAGGACTAGCAGGTGCAACAAGGTTGACGCGGTCAGGCTTTAGGTTGAATTTACTTTTACTAAAGGGTCAGAGGTGCGTGACTTGTAGCTTATCATTATTTTTTTAACATACCCTGGACATTAAAGGAGCGAAATAGTTCATTGATTATCAATGTTATTATTTAATTTAGTACAGCAAACTTTCTCGGGGCTGTGCACTTACGGTATAACGTTGTTGTCACAAAACATACAAACAAAAAAAGGGACATTTCAGAAAATGCAGGCGGAACATTTTCTTTAATTTTTTGTTTTGTTTTTGATCTATTTTGTCAACTATACAAAGTTGTAAAAAATTGTTAAAATAAAAAATCTAGATATTTGAAATCTTTCATGTTTAAATCAAAATTCTTTTGTTAAATTTATAATATGTAATATATAACCGGATATTATTATACTTACATCAAAACTATATGAGCTACAATGTCTCAATGTCATACCTGTAAAGTTGTAAAGTACTTTTCCTTCAGTTTTTGTTTTTGTTTTTTCTTCAATCTTTTTTGATTAAAATCAGTTTTAAATATGTTTTGAAAATTTCAGACTATAACACTGAAATAGATTTTAAATCTAAACAAAATTTTTAAAATTAAGAATTTCTATAATTTCTATATTTTTTGTATTAGTCGTATTTAAAAGGAGTTTTCATATAATTTGAAAAACAAGACTTTTCTTCAAATTGTCTTTTTTTCGACAAGGAAAAGGAAAAGAAAATTTTTCTTTTATTTGTTTGTTTTCAGAAAAATCTCATGTGCCAGAAGAAATGGGAACCCTCTTCATTATGGATCTGCTAAGGTAACAAAAAAAATATCCACAAAAAATCTAAAAAACAATGTTTATTTATAAAAAGGCTGCTACAGGACTAAATGATATTGTTAAATTAGAGGGCACAAAACATTTTACTCTGTACACTGTACTCTATGAAATTAAATTGCAAGCTATAGACTATACACGCTGTACATGTACCCCATACACGCTGTACATGTACACTATACACATTGAACATTTGCACTATACACATTGTATATGTACACTATACACGTTCTACATGTAAACTATACACGTTGTTCATGTACACTATACACGGTGTTCATGTACACTATACACATTGTACATGTGCACTATACACGTAGTACATGTACACTATACTCGGTGTACATGTAAACTATACACGTTGTACATGTACACTATACAAGGTGTACATGTACACTATACACGTTGTACATGTACACTATACACGTTGTACATGTACACTATACACGTTGTACATGTACACTATACACGGTGTACATGTAAACTATACACTGCCTTAGTGACGTGTGGCAAGTACCGGCCCGACCCTATCCTATGTAAGCTCACTATCATGTTTATGATAAAGAGTTGAAGAGAAGAAACAATAAAAAATGTTTGAAATAAGAATGTTTTCAGTTAAATTCATGCCCTAGAAACTTCATATTTTTGACAGAACTTTTAGCTAATAAATTGATAAACTACAAATTTGAAAATTGTCAAATGTTTGCAGTCAACATCCTCGAATTCTCTTTAAATAAAGAAAGAAAATCTAAAAATTGGTCAATTCCATAAAATCCCCCTTTAGAAATACGATCGCTCTATATACAAGTGTACAGCGTTAGATACGTAAACATATCGTGATGAACACAACCGATCTGTCTATTAATTAATTAATAGACAGGTCGGTTGTGTACATCTGAGCTAAGCTTCGCCTCTTCGTTTTATTACTCTATGGTACATGCTATTCACTGTACACTATAAAAGTTCTAAACGTGTACACTATACACGTCGTACACTACATATTATATACGTTGTACGCTGCATACTGTACACGTTGTAACTTGTACAACTCTGTACACTTTATCCTATATGTGCAGGCAGAAGAGAGAGAAAGCACTGCGTGAGAAAAAGGATGCTATGATAAACAAGATGGCCGCTGAACAGAAAAAGAAAATGGCGGAGGGTAGAAAGGTAAATCAAAATAAAGGGATTGTAGACATAACCTAAAGGGTAGGATTTCTGATTAAGGTAAAATTTGGGTAATTATTATTTTGTTATTTAAAATTTTCTCTTTAAAAGTCATTTTCAGATTTATACTGCAAAAAATTAACAAGACACAGCTTTTTCCTAAATATTAAAAATAGTAAGAATCGTCTAATCTAAAAAAAATGAATTGATGTAGAAACAATCTCAGTAACACATCAAGAAATTATTGATGGTAAAAGAAATAATAATAATGATAATAATAATAATAATAATATTAAATAGCTGAAGTGCCTGGCTTTGCCCGTGAAAAAAAAAATTAGAATTTATTTTAGCCTACGTTACTGAAGGGGTACTTAAGGGTTCCCTTTAAAAAATTTCAACCCATAGCTAAAATATATATATATATATCAAATCAAATCAAATCAAATCATTTATTTCTGCAGAAAAAAAACAACATTTACGAATTAATTTTTAAAAATCACAATATATGTAAAATATTATTTTCAGCAGCAGGCGGACTCAATAGCCTGGGGCTGTTTTAGCTGGGCCCCCTGTTAACCAAATTCTTTAATTGAATTATAGCATTTAAAAAAACACATACACAAAAACACATTTATGAGCAAAGAGCTTTTTTATTATTAATTATAATAATTACATCAATAATAATATGAAATAATGATAATACTTTCAGGAGCCCAGTTCTAATTTGTATACTCCAGGGGGGTTTGTTGGTATTGGAGCTTTAACAAGTAAGATTTTTAGAATTAAAAAAAACTTCAGAATATTTGACAGTCTATAAATGGGTGGGGGGAAGTTTTGTCCCCCCCCCCAGTCCCCACCCCTTCGATCCTAATCATGATACCATTGTAAAGGACTACTCTATTTTTCACCCACTTGATTATTAAAATTTTTATAATCTAAAATGACAAAAGTTAAAGATATAAACAAAAGAAGTACGTACGTGTTCAAAACGTAAATAAGTTGTACTGGATAGTGGTTGTTTAACCAGCATGAATCCATTGTATTCTACTTCTTTTGATGATTGAGAAATTGATAGGTTGTGTTTTGTACTAACTATTGTGCTAGAACTGTACAATACTGTACAATGCTGTACAATACTGTATAGTACTATAAAGTACAGTACAGTACAGTACAGTACAGTACAGTACAGTACAATACAGTACTGTACAGTTCACAGTACAGTACTGTACAGTTCACAGTACAGTACTGTACAGTTCAGTACAGTACAGTTGTACTTTATTGTACTGTACTGTACTGTACTTTGTAGGTGGGAGTCCAAAGTGGAATGCCGGAAAGAGAAGACAAGTAGAAAACGAAGACGACAAACCGCATGCAGTTCAGGAAAATCAATCAATCAATCAACTAATAGTCTTCCAGTTCTGTAGAACGTAAAGGGTTTACGAAAGCAGTTAATTAAATCCCCCACCACGGCAGGCACTTTTTAAACTGTAAAAACGGCATTTTAATTGTTATTATTTATACTTTTTTAAACGACGGATTTTATTTGATTGCAAAAAAATTTAGAAATTCTTGTGAGGACAAATTTCAGAATACTTTCTCAATTTATTAGTATTTTATCGAGTTCAGCATTTTTTGCATTCAAACAACAGCTGGCCAGCTAGTCTGAAGGAAGATGCAATGGTGAGAGATAAAGTTTGAATTGTTGTTTTTACATTAAAATATTGTTTTTAAGTGGTCAAGATCTTACAATTTATCAGGGGGGATGGATCTTAGCTACCTCTCCGTGAGTATTAGCCTGAGTGTACACTTAGGATAGTTTACTGATAAAGGATATTAAGAGATTATGGCCTATTCAAACAGTATAAACATCAAATATGCAGTACGCTTTCGGAGTGCAAGTGTATGGGGAGGTTTTGTATCTTGAATTCCACTCAGTTTTCCATAGAGTAATAAAACGAAGAGGTGAAGCTTAGCTCAGATGTACACAACCAACCTCCCTATTAATTAATTAATTTAAAGCGGTCGGTTGTATACATCACGATATGTTTACGTATCTAACACTGTACACTTATTTATAAAGTGATCGTATTTCTAAGGGGGATTTTATGGAATTGACCAATTTTTAGATTTTTTTTCTTTATTTAAATCTATATTAAGTGTCTATCTAATTATCAATACTAATATTCAAATAACTACATAAAACCACCCCTTAGAAATAAAATCACTCTATATACAAGTGTACAGTGAAACATATCGTGATGTATACAACCGACCACTCTATCAATTAACTAATAGACAGGTCCCTTTAATTATTAAGATGATTACAAGATTACGGTTACAGTCCCTTTAATTATTAAGATGATTACAAGTAGCGGTCGGTTGTATACATCACGATATGTTTACGTATCTAACACTGTACACTTATTTATAAAGTGATCGTATTTCTAAGGGGGATTTTATGGAATTGACCAATTTTTAGATTTTCTTTCTTTATTTAAATCTATATTAAGTGTCTATCTAATTATCAATACTAATATTCAAATAACTACATAAAACCACCCCTTAGAAATAAAATCACTCTATATACAAGTGTACAGTGTTAGATACGTAAACATATCGTGGTGTATACAACCGACCACTCTATCAATTAACTAATAGACAGGTCGGTTGCATACATCTGGGCTAAGCTTCACCTCTTCGTTTTATTACTCTATGCAGTTTTCTCAGAACCGTTTATCAACGATGAAATATTGCTCTGTAAAAGACTGTAATAGTACGTCATCCTGTGATTATGTAATCCTAAACACGATAACGGAGTAGTAAGTTTTAATAGTAACATTGAAAACAAATTCTCCATTTAAATATTTTCAGAAATCACCCCCCGAGTAGTGTAATATACAGATTGACCTTTGGAAGTGAAGTACGTGGCCTGTACAATTAGTAAAGGATTAGCGTACATCATCACTCTATGCACTATAACCTCGTTGGAATTTATCCTGTCGACTAGATTTAATGTTACTGTAATGAATATGAAGTGGACTATAGAAGGTCACTTGAAATTACGCTTACAGTCCCTTTATTTGTTAAGATGATTATCAGATTATGCTTACAGTCCCTTTAATTATTAAGATGATTATCAGATTACGCTTACAGTCCCTTTAATTATTAATATGATTATCAGATTACGCTTACAGTCCCTTTAATTATTAAGATGATTACAAGATTACGCTTACAGTCCCTTTACTTATTAAGATGATTACAAGATTACGCTCACAGTCCCTTTAATTATTAAGATGATTACAAGATTACGCTTACAGTCCCTTTACTTATTAAGATGATTACAAGATTACGCTTACAGTCCCTTTAATTAATAAGATGATTACAAGATTGATTTCCTAGTCTGACAATGAGATGTTTATTCTTGGTTTATTGAAGGAACAAAGTCAGGAGATAAAAGATAGAGATCATAAAGAGGTATATGTACAGTTTGTATGTATATATATATACATATATATGTACAGTTTGTATGTATATATAGACATGTATATGTACAGTATGTATGTATATGTACAGTGTGTATGTATATATATACATGTATATGTACAGTATGTATGTATATATATATACATGTATATATATACAAATATGTATGTATATTGTATGTATTTATACATGTATATGTACAGTATGGATGTATGTATATATATACATGTATATGTACAATATGTATGTACATATACATGTATATATATATATACATGTATATATATACAGATATTGATGTACATTGTATGTATTTATACATGTATATGTACAGCATGTATGTATGTATATATACATGTATATGTACAGTATGTATGTATATATATACATGTATATGTACAGTATGTATGTATATATATACATGTATATGTATAGTATGTAAGTATATATATACATGTATATGTACAGTATGGATGTATGTATATATATACATGTATATGTACAATATGTATGTACATATACATGTATATATATATATATATACATGTATATGTACAGTATGTTTGTATATATATACANTACACGATTGATTTCCTAGTCTGACAATGAGATGTTTATTCTTGGTTTATTGAAGGAACAAAGTCAGGAGATAAAAGATAGAGATCATAAAGAGGTATATGTACAGTATGTATGTATATATATATACATGTATATGTACAAACTGTATGTATATATATACAAGTATATGTATAGTATGTATGTATATGTACATGTATATGTACAGTATGTATGAATACATGAAATACATGTATATGTACAGTATGGATGTATGTATATATATAAATGTATATGTACAATTAGACCCATAACACTTCGGAATGTAAAGACGACTGTTAGACTCAAGTAATGATTTTAAACTGTCCAATGAACATGAAACACAGCAACTGTGCATTGCACACAGACCCATTTTACAAAATAAGTTGATAATCAACTGGTAAAAATATTTGATAACAACATATATATACACATAAGTATGCCCGTTGTCTTCTTACTCCGCCGTTTGAAATTCTATGAACAGGCTGTCCCGTGAAAAATGGGAATTAATATCGTCTTTGATTTCCGATGATGAATGGGTGTTTTAAAAAAAGGTTTTACTGTTTAAAATGTGGTCTACCTTCCACCTCATCTAGAACTATAGAGCCCATTTTAAAAATCTTAAAAATATGTAGATTAAAAAACTTATTGTTGTCATTTTAAACTCAAATAAAGCCCCTGATGAATAAAATTTTAAAATCTTGATTTCTGAGCTGGGATTGAGAACGATGTCGAGAGCAATGCTTGATCTTGATCTTTTGTTAATCTGCAGATTAATTTAATCTTTATTCAATATCCTGCATGGTATAATCGAACCACGAATCGACAACTCAAATGAAGAGATGAAGAATTGATCCTCAACACAGTATCCAAATAAAAAGTTTTGAAAACTGATATATTTAGGTATCGGAGGAGGGGTTGGCTTGTGCTAGTGATGTAAATTATAGGAAGAAGTTTGAAAGATAGATGTCACCCAACAACGCCATTTTGATTTTGTGACACCATTTAAAGTTTATGACGTCATTTTGAGCTATTGCCGCCATATTGAATGTTTGACACCATTTTGATGCAATATGTTTTTTGTTCCTTATCATACAATTTTTAGAATTTGGTAAAAATTAATTGAAATTTGCATCCAACCATTTTTGTAATATAAAAATCTATTTTTATTCATGTTTTCCACAACATGTTTAGTTTGATAGTTTTTCGTTAAAATATATTTATGATAAAAATTCAATGCAAGTTTATAATAAATTATGTATTTAAATATATAAATTATACAGTAACCTTTAATACAAATAAAAAAGAAGAAAAAAACCTCTTGAAATTTTAAATTTTAAAAACTTGCATATATTTTCTTTGCAACTCATCAATTAGGATAAACATCTTCTCGTTCAGTCTCAAAACGGTTTCCTTTCGTCAGAGAAAACAATTGAATATGGAGCCGTATAGGTTTACTCTATATAATGTAAAGTGAGTTATAAAAGATGTTTAAACTTTCTTATTGAATTTTCAGTGCGTGTTCTTAATAAAATTATCCTATTTTAAAAAAGTAAAAATAAGTTTTAAACCTAAATCTTGAATTCCAAATCTTGAATTTCAAATCGTAAGTTTTTATTAAGAAAATTGAGTCTAAACTTTCCTACTTTTTAAAATTTTACTGTGAACATTTAGAGACACCTAGCGGTGAAATATTTAACTTAAGAATTTGGAACTGTGTGGCTTTAGTCTCCTTCAAATCGTCCCCCCTCCTATCCTACTGTAATAAATATTCCCAGGTACTATATCAAGGAAACCTGATACCTTACCTACATTCCTTCTAATAATTATCATCATTTTATGCATATTTCGTAACCAAATAAATGATTAACTTTATCGTTCATAAACATTGTAACTAAATATATTTCCTTGTTGGGTGCCCGGTCAACCTATTTGACCTGTAACCTTATGTTTCAATAAATAGTTAGATAAGTGTAAAACCTCGCGTTGAATAGACCTGGCTTAGACCCTAGGTAGAGAAGACAGAAATACGGTGTTTTCTGTAGTTAAGATTGATTCGGAAAGACTGGCATATTGTGACACTACATACAGATATCCCGCTTCCTATACTACACTTATATATATGGCTGCCCACGTACACTAAATTCCTAAATTTTTTAAAACACTCAAATAATATGGTGTAAAAAGAGCGCAATTTTTACGCAATTTTGTATGTCTGAAAAAAATAATAATCAACATTTCCACAAATTCATGATATTTTTATTCAGAGCTGGGTTATAAGATATTTTCTTTAGAAAAATTAGATATTTACACTAATTTGAAATCTAGAGTCATGCAAATTTGCACTGTTATTGAGCCAAAATAATATGCTTTTACGCTGAGCTTATGCAATTTGGATAGCTGGGTAGTGCAATTGAACTTATTTTAGAACTAATGAACAAATAAATGTTCAATCGAACTAATATCTAAAATTTCACAATTGCGCACGTTTACCCTAATTAGCGCAAATGAACATATTTTAGCTCAAATGAACAAAAAATGCTTAATCGAACTGAAATCTGAAATTTTACCATTTTGTCCATAAATTATAATTGCTCCAATTGAACAAATTTTTGGTTAGAACTGTTAATTTGCACTAATGTTTAATTGCACTAATTACAGAAAAAAAACATTAGTCCGTTTGAACAAATGTTTTTTGTGGGAAATGTTCATTTTCACTAACGTTTAATTACATTACAATTTACAGAAGAAAAACATTAGTCCGGTTGAACAAATTTTTTGTTCATTAAAATTTTTAAAAAATAGTGCATTTGTTTTTAGTATTCCAGATCAATTGTTTTTCAATTTTTCAAAACAATTCATAAAAAAAAATTTAATGCGATAAAACCAAAAATAACAAAAAAAAACAATTTTTGCATTTTTGAAGTGATAACAGTTCTAAAATCTAAGGCTATAATTTGATAACATTTACTGTAGACTTACACTCGAATTTTTTTGGCTGATTTTTTGTTATATCTCATTCAATTTTTTTTTAAACAATGGAATATACATTTTCCCAACATTTTTTTAAAGATTT